TGAAATAGAGATTATTGATTGATTCATTGTATTTATTGTCATCATTTCTTTTAAAACACATGATGGGGAATATAAGATGGAAATAAAGAGTGAATTATTCAGTGTAGATTCTTCTTGTTATATGAAGGTTTTAAATGTGGAGCTCAACATTGCTCTGCCACAGTCAATGGACTAAACCACTGAAGAAGAAAACAGCCTTTAGCATTCAGATACTCAGTGTGGATCAGTATAATATCAGCCTTATGTCTGCACTTTACTGTCAGCACAACTTAACATCACATTCATCTCAGCACAGAAAGAAAACATGGTGTCTGACCTCAGAGTCTCCAGTCTACAGTGTGGACTCTCCAGAAAACCACACAGCAGCTTCACTCCTGAATCCTTCAGGTTGTTGTTGTAACTCAGGTCCAGCTCTCTCAGATGGGAGGGGGATGGACTTCAGAGCTGAGACCAGAGAAGAACAGCTGATCTCTGACAACCAGCAGTTAATCAATCTGAATAAAGAATAAAAGATGAAGATAAAATCATTTATAATCCAATCAGATGTGTTCAGGTTTTAAATGTGGAGATCAACATTACTATGTCCTAATCAATGAGCTTTTCTCTAAAATGAGTAGAGTGACTTTGTCATTGTGTTCATTTTGTCTTTGTCTCATTTTTCCACCTGCGATTCTGTTTTTACATCAGCAGGTGAGCCGCGTGTGGAGGAGGCTCGTTGTTAATGACGTAGCCAATCAAAACCATGGAAACCAACGTGGTAACCAATGACAACGGCACCAGCTGATCATAATCATAACAATAATAATAATAATAATAATAATAATAATGATAATGTTAATAAAATAATAATAAAGTTAAAAATAATAATAATAATAATAATAATAATAATAATGTTAACAATAATAATGTTGATGATGATAAATAATTAAAATAATAATAAAACAATAATAATGAAATATACTCATAATATTAATAATATTAAATAATAATAGTGATAATAATAATGTTAATGACAATAAATAATAATACATTAATATTTAATAACAATTAACAACAATAAAATACTAATATTAATGATATTAATAAATAATAATAATATGATAATAATAATGAACATATTACAATAATAATAATAATAATGATAAAAATAATGTCAATAACAATAAAGAGTAATAAATAATAATAATAAAATAACAATTATTACAAGAATAAATAAATAATATTAAAAATAGTAAATAAATAATATAAATTATAAAATATAAATACAATATGACCATATAAATTATTTTAATAATAATAACGATACAACATACAATAATGAATAATAATAATAATATATAATATATAATTATATAAATGTATATAATATATGATTATTATGTCCTCCTTGACACTATCTTCCCAGCCCTGTATTGCTGGGAGGTGAGGGGCCTATATGTTGTTTGTATGTGGATTCAGTTTGATGTCACAGTAAATAAAAGATTATTTAAAAAAGGATGAATTTAGGGGAAATGTGAACAAACAACAAACAAATGTTGGAAAAAGTAAAAAGTGAATCTATTAGTTATTGTCTGATAGTTGAAATAGAGATTATTGATTGATTCATTGTATTTATTGTCATCATTTCTTTTAAAACACATGATGGGGAATATAAGATGGAAATAAAGAGTGAATTATTCAGTGTAGATTCTTCTTGTTATATGAAGGTTTTAAATGTGGAGCTCAACATTGCTCTGCCACAGTCAATGGACTAAACCACTGAAGAAGAAAACAGCCTTTAGCATTCAGATACTCAGTGTGGATCAGTATAATATCAGCCTTATGTCTGCACTTTACTGTCAGCACAACTTAACATCACATTCATCTCAGCACAGAAAGAAAACATGGTGTCTGACCTCAGAGTCTCCAGTCTACAGTGTGGACTCTCCAGAAAACCACACAGCTTCACTCCTGAATCCTTCAGCTTGTTGTCACTCAGGTCCAGCTCTCTCAGATGGGAGGGGTTGGACTTCAGAGCTGAGACCAGAGAAGAACAGCTGATCTCTGACAACCAGCAGTTAATCAATCTGAATAAAGAATAAAAGATGTGAGTTTAGAAGACAATGTTCCTGCTTGAAATCATTCAGTGTTTAATAATCTGTTCAGAGCTGAAGAAGGTTTACAATGTACAAGTTTAGAAAATGGAAACTCCAAACACCTGAACCCAACAGGATGCAGGTTGCAAACTGTAAAATACAAAGAGTGAAAAAGAGCTCTCATTAATATTAATGACAACGTGCTGCTGCTTCAATAAAGACGTAGTGACTTCAGCTCTTAACCTCTGCCAGCTCCACCAGTGGCTCCATCTATACAAACTCATGTTGTGCAGCCAAACACAAAGAAAAAGCCACAGAAAGTGATTGAAGGTTCCACTATTAAAGATAAAATGCTGTCATCTTGAGTGTAAATATTCAGTTCACATATCATCAGAAAGGTTTGGTACAAGCTGATATGTTTATTGTCTGATAGAGAAGAAAATATGTTTCTGTTTGTATTCAGAGGATCATGAGAGAAAGATGGAAATGAAATGATGAAGAGCTTCAGAGAGAATCAAACATGTTTTAGGATCATACCACTGTTGTGGATTAAAGGGCCAATGTTAAAATTTACATTAAAAGTCAAATAGAAATGATCCCGCGAGTAAACTTGTGCAAACTCAACGCAAGGCAAATACTCACAACACAACGCAACATTAGAGAGAGAGAGAAGGCAAAATGTGACCTGCAGTACAATATGATTTTTATCTCTAGCCTGCACACACACACACACACACACACACACACACACACACACACACACACACACACACACACACATTGCTCACACCACTCTGTGACATCCGTATCAACATACAAACAGCATTTGTGATGCATAGATCTGCTTCAGTGCTTAATAATATAGGCAATAGTGTCTCTAGTGGAAACCAGGGACATTACATGCATTTCCCCAATAGGGCAAACTCTATACAGGCTCAGTCTGCTGGAAAATGGTAAAACTGAAGTAAACAATGGACTTGATACAGTAGGATGCATTATTTTCAGTGCAACGGCCCTGAGGTCAAAAATTGGTGTTTAAGTATGAAGAATTGAGTTTTAAAGCCTATTTACATCAATATATACTTAATATAGGGTTTGATATTAAATAAAAAAACAACAACAACCTTGCCAGAGCTTATGTAGCTGCCGTCAGAGACAGTTATACAGTTTAAGTTCATTTTATACTTTTGAGTCAAAAATTAAAATAATTTACATCCTGATAGATCATATTTCTGTTAAGAGCGTGCACATACACACAGAGAGAGATGTGTATTCAATAGTGGAAATAATGTTGTTATGTTATGTATGTCATTATATAGACGCACTCTACACAGCACACGAGTAACAGAGCACCTGACATGTTAATAGAAGATGATATTATGAAGCTGCTTAATAATGCGACAGAGATTAGGATGAGACTCGACGCCTGAAGTTTCCTTTCTGACTCCCCTTGAGTTAACGTGGCCAATGAGGTATGCAGAGTGATGTTTACATTATGTTTACACCTGTTTAAGATGCTCACGTTTAATATTACCTGTGTTTCAATTAATTGATGTGTAATGTCTAATGTAAGATATTTTTATGTTTGTCAGATATTTCTTTGATGTTTATTCTCTTTGGAAATGCTTTGTATGACATGAAACTCATTTTATGATTGGTTTATTTCAAGTCATCTAGTTCTCACTGCATGACTGACCACACCGACGGGCAAATAAATGCCCGTGCATAAAAGGAACGTCTTGTGTTTGTGATTTAAACTGAAGGGAGTGACAGCTTATGCATTAACACACCCAGAATGATCGCACTGATAAAAGTTAAAAAGAGAAAATGTCCCTTGCAAGGTATAAGGGTTAACAGTGAACGAGAACTTCTGGAACTTCAGTGCACAGTACAGTATACAGGAAGTACTGCAGTATCAATATCAGGACGAGGGATGTTAAAATCATGATTAAGTGAAATTTGTTGGAGTCTTTACCAATCAAACATGTTTTGATACATCTGGAGAACAAGCTTTGTAGGCATCTCTGCAGCATTAGAGTACTTCAGGCCTTGCTGCTGTCTACCTGACTCGTTTATTGAAAAAGAGCGAGAGAAAGGAAGAGAGATTGCAAATGAGTTGAGAGGACGAGTGAGATAGAGAGTGAATGAGAGAGAGAGCGCGGCGGTAGAGAGGACAAAGAAAAGAGTTATAAAACTATTACTGTTCTGATTGTTTCACATCAGTTTCTCTCTAAAGTAAAAATAAAGAACCATCAAACTGTCAGCAGATGGTCCCTGTGGAGACTAAAGTTTGCAGTCTGTGTTCGACCTTCTTTATTTCTGGCTGGATCAGGTGAGTCCTGAACCATCTTAGTTATGCTGCTATAGGCCTAGACTATCAGGGGATTTCCCATGGTGCACTGAGCTCCTCTCTTCCTCTCTCTTTCTGCACTCATTCATGTCCCATTAATGCATGTTACTAACTTCACTTCTTCCCCGGAGTTGTTGTGCTTTCTCATCTCGCAGGTTCTCATGGATCCTGGTGGAGCCTCAATATTACTGATATTATTATTATTATGATTATTATTATATTATTATTACTACAGATACACTCAAAAAAATCACTAGGGCATGTGTTTGATTAGCAAACTAATAATATGCTTACATTACATGAATAAATCATGATTATGTCCATTAAATACTTCATTCTTGTTTGTTGTACATGACTCAAAGAAAATTCTGATGGGTTAAATTCATTCATGGCAATCCAATGAGAATGAGGTCCATCAAACCAGCGACTCTGATATCATCACGCCCACCCATCCTAAACTTGATAGTGAGGTAAGTAATTCACATATCTCTTGATAAATGTATTCAGGTCAGCAGTGTAAGTGATAAATAGTATTTTGTGAGAAATATTTGAATTGTTTTAGTGAATTTTATTTTGTTGCTGTCAACTTTGAATGAGGTGTGTTTCCTGGTTATCTGCGTGGTTTCAAAAAAATGATTTAGCAGTGGAGTTTGCTGACTTTGAGGAGCGCGATATAACAGAGAACCGTGTGTAGAGCCAGAATGTTTTCACATGTAATTGAATTGGTGAATTAGAATTTTTTTCCAACTTAGTCGTTTATTATTGAAACAGTGGCTAACCTGGCGGTTTTTGTAAGATTTATTTGGTTTCTGTCGACTTTGAATGAGGTGTGTTTCATGAGTATCTGGTAGTTATCACTGTTTCTCCACGCGAGTTTGCTGACTTTGAAGGGTGCGACGTAGGCGGGAAAGTCGCGTAGAGCCGTAATGTTTTTCACATATAACTACGTGAAATATAGGTTTCTTACTATTTAATCAGAGACGGAGTGACCTTTGAAAAGCCTCTCTCTTGTTTTTCTCTCTCTCTGACTTTGCTTTGTTGGGCAGGAAGGTTTGTGGTGGGGACTAGGGACTAGGGACTGAGGTAAGACTGGGGTACCCTCTACATCTACACACGTAGAAAGAAACTGTTGTCACACCAGGTTATGGGTTGTTGCCACTGTTGTACTTTTATTATTTGTAGATGCTTTTTGTAGGCAAGACAGTCAGGCCTTTTGTTTCCTTTTCTTTTCACACAGATAAGGTTGAGCTAGGCCCTTTATGATTGTACTTTGTTTTATTTGGCACAAACCCCACAGGTCCCTCTTCCCCCCACATTGTTCAAACCTACATTCGTTGTTTACCTTTTCACTTAAATATTGTAAATAAATCCCATTTCTTTGACTGTCTCACGTCTTCCTGAGTTCTTCTTTGTTGGTTGTCAGTGTTAATGTTTCTACGTAAGTGGAAACATAACATGCTCTGACAGTGCAAGTCATAAGTGCGTTGTTCATGTTTTTCAGATCGACAAGGAGTTCCTGCACATATCGACTGTACCGCTGCTATCTACATTCTTTTGTGAGCTAGACCGATACACGCCACGCATGATGGAGATCTTTTGATGCAAAGGTGTGGTGGCTGGAGGAAAAATGAGACACATCATGGTGGCTGTCTCCAAGGTTTGTATTAAAATGGTTAGACCTGTGCTCATAAAGTACTTTTTATGCCCCTATCATGACCTTTGCATGAGCAAAAATATCTACACATATGGTAGACAAAAGTCTTAAGTTGTTTTTACCATATCAAAACACAATCATGTTGTTAAACCAATTACAGCGTCTCTCTGAGATTATTAAGTAATTGATAAATTCATATGGTGAACTTCTTGATCAGAATGAAAAAACAGTGTGTGTGGCTGCCTCATTTTGTGTCTGATTTGGTTGAGATCTTGAATAGATGAGTACTTGCCTTTTGGTCTCCTGAGACTTAAGTATTGTCTACCACAGTTCTTTTTTCAAACTGCTACCTAAAAAGCTAAATATTCTCATGGATTCCCTTTTTTCCCCCAGGATGACACAATACATACAAGACCAGCATGCATCCTCAAGTCCTTGTGCATCTCCCTCAATGAAAACCATGAGAAACTTGTGAAGGAATACATGGTGAGTTACATTCACTAGGTGTGACAAAGATGTAGACTTACAGCACATATTTCATACATTTACTTGCGTGATATGTAATTCACTGCATTTCATTCAATTCATTTCACTTTTTACTTTTTGTAATGGGTGCATCTGTATTATTCTCGTACATCTCCAATTGTACTGATTAATTTGGGCTTTTATTCATACAATTGGAAATGTTTTTATAATGTTATGATCAGCAATTAGCATATTTACCTTTTTTTGCTTCCAGTCTCCTGCCACCCATATCTAGACTCAAACAAATGTATTTATTGTCATATTTTACTTCACAGAACACTGAGGCCAACACTGAAGCCATGGAGCAAACTGTGATGGGAGTGTATGTCATACAGCAGCAGGATGCACAGCCTGGAGATGACCCAGAGGACAGAGGTGTCCTGATTGAAGGTGTGGAGGTTCTCACCGGTTTGGGGAGCATTGCGATTGCTTGTGCTCTGTTATTCGGACTGATATACTGTTTGAACCTAAGCTACCCACCCGAGCTCAAATGCACTTTTGAAGTCCTGCAAAAGATTCTCATGAATCTGGATGGGCAGAGGTTGTCATCCAAGGCACAGTTCTTGAAGAACAAGCTCATGGGATGAATGAGCTGAAAACAGACTCATGGAAGCCAGGTATTTTTCCATATCTGCAATGCAGATTTTTTTGTGTTTGACTTGGAAAGTTCAAAATTAGAAGTTGTTCAGGACTATTCAGTTTGCTCAGTAGACTTGAGAATGAATTGTTGGCTAAGTTAAAGTCTCATACACTTACATTACACACACAGATTTTACCACATGGACAATTGTTACAAAGGCAGTTGTACACACTGGTTTTCAAAAAATGTGGAGCAGTCATACACGAACATACTACACACATTTACTCCACATGTTAAATAGAATAAAGTCACAATTAATGGATATAGCCTACTTAAAATGGAACACTAATTTACAAACAATTTACAATTTGACATTTTCTCAAGTTAGCAAAAAGTGTGCTAGCAACATTACAGTAATTACTTTTGATTTATTTTTTGAAATGCACGTGTCCAATGTTATAACAGTGTTTTAAAATGGTGTTACAATGCATATTGTTGGTTCCATGGCATATGTTTTTGCATTTTTACAAATGTTTTTAAGTTGAATTGTTGGACGTAGAATTTTAAAACTTATAATGAAAAAAAAAGTTTTGCACAAATCCCAAAACATTGCTTGAGGGCTATTATTTTTTGTTGAAAGTTAAACCTTATATGACAGAAATGCCCACATTTTGAAGGACTATTTGTGAACTGTTTTATTTCCTGACATTTCCACAATATGGCAGTGTTTACACGATGATGATAGTTTAGATCTGGTATAATGTTTGGTCCAGAGGAATTCAGCATGTCTTCATTGTTATGGGAGTTCTGTAGTCTCCTACATGCATTGCTGTTAATGAAAGACTCTAAGAGCTCTATCTTGCACTCAGCGCAATTGACTTTGTAGACTGGCGCTTGTATAATTCTTATTTTGCACTTGACGCACATTGGAATTTTCCCAATTCGCACGTCCTTAAATTAGGGAATGAACTTGCAGTTCAGCGAAAAGAGGAGGCGTGTTCCGGCGCAAACGTTCCCTGGTGCAATTTTGCTGTTTCAGAAAACAATTCCGCCACGGACCAGGAAAAACCTAGTCTAAAGTCAGTGGTGCTTATTCAGATGCTATTTTAAGGGCGCAGACTTGAGGAGATGTGCCTGAGAGGCAGCAGCAACATCGCCACCCGGTCAGGACGGGCATTAATACTTTGCCGCATCCCGGACAGCTCCCGCTCCAGCAAGTCAAACCCGGTTTGCTGCAGGAACGGGTGGTCCTCCGGCGTGTAGTGGGTCTGGATCCTCTGCACCTTGGTGTTTGCGCTGCTCCCTCCTCAGCTGGCCGTTGCGCACTGCTCGGCCCGTGCGCACTGCTCCCGAGGCCAGGGTCTTCTTCCTTACATTGTTTACATTGTTTTGATTTATTGCATGGCTGTGTTACATTTATTTCATGTTAATAATGACACTTCTCGGTATTTTACGGCCCTGACGAGAACGTCGGTCCTCGGCTGTGAACCGCTCCTGGCGTGCGCCTGGCCAATCCGCTGTTATAATAGCAATCCGCCATGGAACAAGCTCGCCTGCTTATAAAGGGAATGTGAGATGAAGCTCTGATTGGTTTATTGCACGTTACGCCCAAACCACACCTATGACTAATGTAGCTACTTCAGACCAACCCATTTTAGATTTGCGCAAAAAAAAAGTTCACAAATAGTCCTTCAAAATGTGGGCATTTCTGTCATATAAGGTTTAACGTTCAACAAAAAATAATAGCCCTCAAGCAATGTTTTGGGATTTGTGCACAACTTTTTTTTTTCATTTTAAGTTTTAAAATTCTACGTCAAACAATTCAACTTAAAAACATATTTGTAAAAATGCAAAAACATATGCCATGAAACCAACAATATGCATTTTAACACCATTTTAAAACACTGTTATAACATTGGACACATGCATTTCAAAAAATAAATCAAAAGTAATGCAACATTACTGTAATGTTGCTAGCACACTTTTTGCTAACTTGAGAAAATGTCAAATTGTAAATTCCGCCCACAAAGCTACTTGCGTTTTGCGTTTGATACTTGCGTTTCAGATCGGCAAGATAGGGCCCCATATGTACCTGTTATTTACTCCGCTCATATCAGCTCAGAAGAGACAAAAGCTACATTAGTTCATTTAACAAGATTAACATTGGTATAACAGACAAAACATATGTTAGTTCATATAACAAGGTTGACTTTTGTTGTATGAAAATGTTTAATCAATATAAGTCGAGTAAACTGTTAGTCGATGAGAAGAGTCACAGTCGACGCACTTTTCATTAGTCAGATATTAGCACCAGGACGATTGTTGCAGCTTTGACCTTTTCTCTTGTAACGCAGCACTGCAGCATGTGCTAACTGCTAACTGAGCTGCTGACGCTAGCTAGTCAGCCAATCAGCTGACTGTACTCGGACTGCTAGCTCAAAGTACCGGGGGAGGTTTGTTTACACCGCGAGCTTTGGTCTGCCAGGGAGCGGGGCGATAGCTTTGCTAGAGTGAGGAGAGTGAGCTGAGCTGACACCGGGACCGAACACAGCCTCTGACACCATCGGCGTTCAGGAGGAGGAGGAAGAGGAGTGAAGGCAGCGAGTTTGTAGCCAGTTAATTAGTCAGTAACTGTTAACGTCATCCATCGTATCGATATGTCCTACAGGATTTGTTAGAGTGAAGTTGGAAGTTATTTATTCCGTGTGTTGAACAACCAGACTGTGTGATGTTACACTAGGTTGGAATAAATGAACTAAATGTTCGGTCTCCTTGTTGGTTGTTCTGATTCACAATCATTACTGATTTATTTGTTAGCATTTAACAGGCCGCTGTCATGTATATTTATTTAAATAATTAAAGTAATATCATAAACATTCAATGAGCAGTCGATTATTGACTTTAACTAACGACTAATTATCTACTCAGAACATCGGCAGTCGGGGACGTCCCTAAATATCAGGAACAACAGGATGACCCAGTGTTGTTTTTCTGAGGGTGAAAGCAGCTTCTGAAATCTGAAATCCTGATGACCAAATTTAATGATTCCGAAATTCTGACATGAGAGAAACTGTTTACCCTGCAAGGAGGTGATAGTTTAGAAACATATTTCAAATGACTGAAGACAAACTAACTTGATCTGACCTGAGTGTTTCCAGTTTACAGTGTGGACTCTCCAGTCCTGCAGACAGAAGCTTCAGTTCTGAATCCTTCAGGTTGTTGTTACTCAGGTCCAGCTCTCTCAGACTAGAGGACTGGGAGCTGAGAACTGAGGACAGAGCTTCACAGCTTCTCTCGGAGAGGTTACAGCCACTCAGTCTGGAGAGACAACAATCAACATTAATAATGACAGAATAACATTTGTGTTATTAATACAATAACAAATAAAGCAGACAGCAGAGTATTTAACTAATAATACAAAAGTCCGACTCTGTCTGTACTTACAGAGCTTTGTTGGAGGCTTTGACCACTGGCAGCAGCCTCAGAAGAGCCTCCTCTGAACCAGAGTATTTCTTCAGGTCAAACACATCCAGATATTTTTCTGATGACAGTAAGATGAAGACCAGAGCTGACCACTGAGCAGGAGACAGTTTATCTGTGGAGAGACGTCCTGAACTCAGGGTCTGTTGGATCTCCTCCACTAGAGAACGATCATTCAGTTCATTCAGACAGTGGAACAGATTGATGCTTCTCTCTGCAGAGAGATTCTTACTGATCTTCTTCTTGATGTACTGGACTGTTTCCTGATTGGTCTTTGAGCTACTTCCTGTCTGTGTCAGCAGGCCTCGTAGGAGATCCTGATTGGTCTCCAGTGAAAGACCCAGGAGGAAGCGGAGGAACAAGTCCAGGTGTCCATTTGGACTCTGTAAGGCCTTGTCCACAGCACTCTGGTGGAGATGTTTCAGTTTCTGTTTGTCTTTAAATAATTTAGACATAAGGGATTTTGTTTGTTGTTTTGCCAGCAGATTGACTCCAGAGTTGATGAATGTCAGATGGACATGAAGAGCAGCCAGAAACTCCTGAACACTCAGATGGACGAAGCAGAAGACCTGGTCCTGGTACAGTCCACTCTCCTCTTTAAAGATCTGTGTGAACACTCCTGAGTACACTGAGGCTGCTCCGATATCGATGTCACACTCTGTCAGGTCTGATTTATAGAAGATCAGGTTGCCTTTCTGCAGCTGCTCAAAAGCCAGTTTTCCCAGAGACTCAATCATCTTCCTTGTCTCTGGACTCCAGTGTGGATCTGTCTCAGCTCCTCCATCATACTTTACATTCTTCACTTTGGACTGAACCACCAGGAAGCGGATGAACATCTCAGTCAGGCTCTTGGGCAGCTCTGCTCCCTCTCTGGTCTTCAACACATCCTCCAGAACTGTAGCAGTGATCCAGCAGAAGACTGGGATGTGGCACATGATGTGAACGCTTCGTGATGTCTTGATGTGGGAGATGATTCTGCTGGCCTGCTCCTCATCTTTGAACCTCTTCCTGAAGTACTCCTCCTTCTGTGCGTCAGTGAACCCTCTGACCTCTGTCACTATGTCAACACACTCAGGAGGGATCTGATTGGCTGCTGCAGGTCGTGTGGTTATCCAGAGGCGAGCAGAGGGAAGCAGTTTCCCCCTGATGATGTTTGTCAGCAGCACATGCACTGAGGTGGACTCTGTAACATCAGTCAGGATCTCAGTGTTGTGGAAGTCCAGAGGAGGTCGACATTCATCCAGACCATCAAAGATGAACACAACCTGGAACTCTTCAAACCTGCAGATTCCTGCTTCTTTGGTTTCAGTAAAGAAGAGATGAACAAGTTCCACCAAGCTGAACTTTTTGTCTTTCAGCACATTCAGCTCTCTGAAAGTGAATGGAAATGTGAACTGTATATCTTGGTTGGCTTTGTCTTCAGCCCAGTCCAGAGTGAACTTCTGTGTTAAGACTGTTTTTCCAATGCCAGCCACTCCCTTCGTCATCACTGTTCTGATTGGTTCATCTCTTCCAGGTGAGGCTTTAAAGATGTCTTCTTGTCTGATTGTTGTTTCTGGTCTGTGTGGTTTCCTGGATGCTGTTTCAATCTGTCTGACCTCATGTTCATTATTGACCTCTGCAGTTCCTCCCTCTGTGATGTAGATCTCTGTGTAGATCTGGTTCAGAAGGGTTTGGTTTCCTGCTTTAGCAATCCCCTCAAACACACACTGGAACTTCTTCTTCAGGTTAGATTTAAGTTTTTGTTGACAAACTTCAGAATGACTTCCTGAACAAACACAAACAAAAATCATGTGGGTGGTTTATACCAAACATTTAATCACTAGTGTGCGTGCAAAAATCTGTACCCTGGACCCATCCGAAATCCCACCGGGTGCGTACCCCCCCGCGCTAACTTCACAGTCAATTAAATGGAAATTAGAAGTTCACTAGTCTAAAAGTAGCTCCACCATCCTCTTTCCCCTGAATAGTGCCTTCCCTAACAGATAACCTGTATGAGGTTAGTTGGTAGAAAGTGAAATAAACTGCTAGAATCCCAAAGCAGGAACCAAATGTTGAACTATAACTTCTAAAGTGGGACAAAAGGGACTCTTAAAACCAACGGTGGCATTAATGCAGGGACGGGGGGCTGCTGCCTGCTGGGGCTGTATCCTGAGAGACTCTGGTGTGTGTGTCTGTGTGGGAGTGTCAGTATGTAGTCCTGCTGATTATCATGGGGTCACATGAACACAACACATAGGGACACATGAGCATAAAACCATCCAGGTTACTCAGGCACCTTAATATCTCCCAGTGTTTTACACAAAGGGTTAAATAAAAGAGAATGAAATCAGGTGGCTCCATCATGCCTCTGTCCTCTCAAATAGCAATGATTGATAACTTAACATTCTCTCATAATAACCAGATCAGGCCTCCAGTTTTACTCTTTGGTAAATACAATCTGTACTTGGAGACACTGTTCCTTTACAAGGATCGTGTTGTCAATGTTGTGTAAACCTACTCTTTACCTGGAATACAAATAAATAAAGTGTGACTGACCTTCTGGTCCTGAGCTGGTGTTTGGCCTTTTTATCTTCTCTAAAACCTTCTTGGTCACCTTCAGAGCTCCATCAAGGTTAAAGGTGTTCTCCATCAGGTCCACTGTGTCCCGCCTTTCTGCCTTCTCCAGCTTGGATTCTTTGATGGGTTCGTAGCCTTCCAGGATGTCGGGCTGCTTCAGATACCATTTGAAGTTCTTGAATTCCTCATCTATTAAATCCTCTAGAGTGTTGAAAAGGTCCACTGCTGTCATCGTGGCTCTCTGTTAAAGTCAGGCAGTGTTGGCAACCTGAAGGAAAACAGTTACACAAATGTATCAGAGCAACAACAGGAGTTCTGATTGGCCGTCACAGGAGCTGTGTTAGTTTGCAGTATTTGTGTGCAGAGTCCAGTTAATGCTCCTCCTGCTGCTGCTGGGATGAACTTAATGTCATTTTGAAGTGGGACACTGCTCACACTTCTTTCAGTTAAAGACAGCCATCTTTGAGTTAAAGCACCACCACATGGAAACTGTTAATGTTAAGGATGCTAATGAACTGTTAGATCCTTTCATTCTTTCAGAAAAACACAACAGCTGAAGTCTCAGTTAGCTTACGTTCCACCAACTGTTAGTTCTGGAATAAAGGAACTGCTGTTGTTTTTATTCACGCTGGCAGCAACAACACCAAACAACACCAGAAAGATAAAATCATCCTGAAACCACAGCTTTAAGGTGAACACATTGAAATGTGGATAAGACAACAGTTCTTAGATGTTAACCTGAGAAAGCGTCCAATGTTCCACAGTCAGCTCTGTTTCCTGTTCTGCAGTGCATGAAATATAAATACAATCAGGCTGTTTGATGTCCACTTGAATGAAATTCTTAAATCAGTCTGATGCTTGTGTTTGATGCAGAGAGGTGCTGTACCAGCAGGTGACAGCAGAGTCTAAATTACTGAACTAACATTCAACAGGTTTTAATGTTTCTGTATCAGCAGAGCTGCTAACCCCATCAACCCCAATCTCCTGACAGCTGATTACTGAAAGCACAACACAAATAATTAATAGAAGTTTTTACTCAGACTTTGTATCCACAGATAAATCAAAAATCTGAGTTAAGTCTGACTTTCCTCAGCAGTTCACAGACACACAACTGGCTCAGGTTCTGACAGAAAAACAAGAATAATGTTGTATGAACACTCACCCTGTTTCCACCTTCCTGCTCTGCTGCTATAAAATGAGTCTGAGCTGACGGCACTAAATACTTCCACTCCCAGGTATCTCAGTCCCTCCCCTCTCCACCTCCACCCTCTGAGTCTGTGTTGATGCAATCTTTCTGTTTTTTCTTAAAGGTCCAGTGTGTCACATTGAGGAGGATTTATTGTTATAAATGTAATATAATATTCATAGGTATGTTTTTATTAGTGTATAATCACCCAGAATGCACAAAATGCATGTTTTCGTAGTTTCTCCTTTATGCTTGGAAGGGGAAGGTTAAGTGACCACAACTACATCAGTAAAACAGAAGAAGAAGAATCCCTTTTATTTATCGTACGTACACATACAAGGAATTTGACTCTGATGTTGTGTTGCTCTCAATGTACATGCACAGAAACAGGCATACAGATAGCAAACAAGGAGTCTCTATGAGGTAAACATAAAACAGCCATGTACCCAGACCAACAGACTGCTCTGCACTGTGTGTTCTGACCCCTTTCTATCAGAACCAGCATTAACTGATTCAGCAGTTTGAGCTAAAGTAGCTCGTCTGTTGGACGGGCCAGCCTTCACTCCCCACCTCCATCAATGAGCCTTGGCCCCCCATGACCCTGTCTCTGGTTCTGTTCCTTCCTTGGACAACTTCTGATAGGTACTGACCTCTGCAGACCGGGAACCCCCCACAAGAGCTGCAGGTTTGGAGATGTTCTGACCCAGTCGTCCATCACAATGTGGTTCTTGTCAAAGTGGATCAGATCCTCACGCTGCCCATTTTACCTGCTTCTAACACATCAACTCTGTTCACTGTCTGCCTGATATACCCCCCCCCCACTGACAGGAGCCCTGATAACCAGATAATCAGAGTTACTGGCGGTGCTCACTGTGTTAGTGCTGATCGGTACATCTTATTAGTGTCAAGTACTATTTTATAATCTCACTCTGTTTATGTAGAAGCATCGTCACAACCCAATGTCATATACTAAACTTGTATCTGACTTTGGTTTAACTGAAGCAGCTGAGACAGAGAATATCAGAGACACAGCTGATTGTGTGCAGGCAGCAGCCACACCTTTCTACCTGCAGTCAGAGTATGCAGTCAGACCGGTCGGATGGTATCTGTTCCTGAGACACTGTGAAAAGTTATTATTGTTAACTCGTTGGATGATTGGCAGTTTTCTTGTTCTCACAATTAACTGACAAAAGCCGATGGTATCTGTTCCTGGGAGTCAACCAAGGTAATATATTTATCTCTATCACCACCAACAGCAGTTCCAGCAAGTTAAACAGCAGCTTCCTCTCATAGAAACTGACAGCAAATACACCTCCTTTTATATCTGAACTCTCAGAGGTTTTATCATGTTTAGTCCTTAAAACAGTCCTTAATTATTGTGGGTGATTTTAATATTCATGTGGATGTTAACAATGACAGCCTTAGCAAAGAATTTATTTCATTAATTGACTGATTGAATGATTTTAATTAATATTAAAGATACTCGGGGCACCACCCTTAAATAAGGGAACGATAACCAATAAATAATTGATTGATCAGTCTTGTAAAAATACACTAACAATTAATTCAGAAATCGGATTAATAATTAAATAGTAAGTAAGTAAGTAAGTAAGTAAGTAAATTTAATGTATAAAGCACATTTAAACACAGCATAAACTGACCAAAGTGCTGTACAGTGGATAACTAAAAAGACAAATAATACAGAAAAACCCATTGGACCAATAATCAATAATTCTATAAAACATGAATAAAAAGGAAACCTTCAATATCAGAGCACATGAATAAATGAATAACTACAACCAAAATCATATTAATAGCTAGAGTGGGAGCTTTGGAGTTCTGCATAGAAGAGGTTGGTATCACTCACTCTTGTACGAAATGAAATAGGCCAGCAAATAGAAACACAAACATTCATTAAAGAGATATAATAAAAGCAAACAGAGGAAAATACACTTTATACAATCTAACTTAAAGGAACTCAGCTAGAGGAAAAAGGTGTGTGTGTGTGTGTGTGTGTGTGTGTGTGTGTGTGTGTGTGTGCGCTAACTAACATCTGTCTAACGTTGCGTTGCTCGGGTAAAGTCAGCTGGCAGACTTTCTCTTTAGAACTACAGATGTTGACTCCCGTTAGCGGTGCACTGGCCAGGGATCGAAGGAAGAAGCAAGCTCTTGTGTCATGCTATAATCCTTTGTCGTGCGCTGTCGGCGTGAAAAGTGAATATCTAGTTTGAATCTAATGCAAGGACAAACAAATCAGATTTAAAAACTGCAAAATACTGAGAAAATCTGACCAATAATATCTGAAAATCAAATAAACAACAATAAATCACATTTACATTTAATTATTTGAATAATAATAAAAATGAAGCCAAAAAGCTACACGCTTTATTTAATTTATTATTCAATTTATTTTGTTTTGTTACTTTTTTTAGATAATTAAACTGTCAGTCGGGATTATTTGGTAAAATTTAATTTCTGTTTAAAATATATCAACCATACTATAAGATTTATTTTACTAATATAGTGTCATTAAATCAAATAAATGTTTTTATCATTATAAAAGGTTTTATCACAAAATAAGGGTTTGCAATTGTTTCATGTTGTCAATGTTGTCATGTCAATGTAATTACATTTATAGAATAACATAAAATAAATACACCAGTAAAGAAATACAATATAATAATAAAACAAACAAATAAATAAAATAAAATAAAATAAAATAAAATAAAATAAAACCAATATACAGTTATGATATTTTAAATTAACTGTAATAATTGTTCCAGATGTTTCAGGTCATTTTAAAGAGTCTTTAAATCTTCAGTCTCCAGTAATCAGTGAGCTTTATCTCCCTCTTGTGGCCGACTGTAGGAACTACAACCTGAACAGCAATAAACACACATTATATCCACAGAACAACATTAAACTATATAATCCTTAAAGGTCAAAGGTCAAAGGTTCAGTTTGAAGACATAAAAAAATAATAATCTGATTTTTTTTTTTCCACAAACAAAAATCAATAAACTGAATAAAAATAATAATAAATCTTATTAAAACGACGCGTCCTCCTCCCTCATCATCAGTTTCATTCTGCACTGTGATTGGCTCCAGACCAGCTGTGATGTCATAAATCCTGCAGGGTGTGTGTGTGTGTGTGTGTGTGTGTGTGTGTGTGTGTGTGTGTGTGTGCGTGTGTGTGTGTGTGTTTCTGCTGAGCTGCTGTTGAGTGTGACAAGAATTGAGAAACGTTTGGTTGATTATAATAATCCGTCTCTGTTGTTCTGAGGGTTCATGTGATCCGGGTCCAACAAGGAACTGGACCCAGTTTCATTCAGACGGAGAGACGTTTCCTCGTTACTCCGGTTAAATGGAGACTTTTCCCAGGAATAACAAATATATAACAAATAAAAAACACTGAAGTAACAAAACCTGTAGTTCCTCTAACGGCCACTAGAGGCTGGCTCCATAAGGCCTCATATTAAAGTGCATCAGAAATCAATAATTGATCAGTTTTATTAAAGTGTCTCGTGCAGAAAGTACAGTGGGCAGATCTGAACCTGGACCAGCTTTGTTACTAATCCTCCCTACTCCCTCCTCCCTCCTCCTCCCTCCTCTTCCTCCCTCCTCCCTCCTCCTCCCTCCTCCCTCCTCCTCCTCCCTCCTCTTCCTCCCTCACACAATAAAACCAGCTGAAGGGAGACGGCCGTTCTCTCCTCTTGTCTCCGATCAACATGTTTCCTCTGCAGCTGCTCGCTCTGATCTTCATCTCCACACCGACTCCCGACCTGAAGAAGAGGAGGCAGGGGGAGGAAGAGGCAGACAGACAGGTAAAGGGGAGGACAGACAGACAGTATGAGCTGGTGCTGAAGAGGGGAGACCTGCTGGAGGTTCCCCGGACTCTGTTCACTCACTTTGGGATTTACCTCGGAGGAGGAAGGTTTGTATCTTCATCAGGAGAGTTATTTTATTCATAACATTTATCTTCCTCTTCCTCTCTCTTTCTTCTCTCCTTCCTTTCTCCTTCCTTTACCTCTCTCCTTCCTTTTCCTTCCTCTTCCTCTCTCCTTCCTTTCTCCTTCCTTTCTTCTTCCTCTCTCCTTCCTCTCTTCTTCCTCTACCTCTCTCCTTCCTTTCTTCTTCTTCTCTTCTTCCTCTTCTTTCCTCTTCCTCTCTCCTTCTTCACCCACTCACTTCCTCTTCCTCTCTCCTTCCTCACTGCTTCCTTTCTCCTTCCTCTTCCTCTCTCCTTCCTCTACCTCTCTCCTTCCTTTCTTCTTCTTCTCTTCTTCCTCTCTCCTTCCTCTTCCTCTCTCCTTGCTCACCCACTCACTTCCTCTTCCTCTCTCCTTCCTTTCTTCTTCCTCTCTTTTTCCTCTTCTTTCCTCTTCCTCTCTCCTTCTTCACCCACTCACTTCCTCTTCCTCTCTCCTTCCTCTCTCCTTCCTCTTCGTCTCTCCTTCCTCACTGCTTCCTTTCTCCTTCCTTTTCCTCTTCCTCTCTCCTTCCTCTTCCGCTCTCCTTCCTCTCTTCTTCCTCTTCCTTCCTCTTCCTCTCTCCTTCTTCACCCACTCACTTCCTCTTCCTCTCTCCTTCCTTTCTTCTTCCTCTCTCCTTCCTCTACCTCTCTCCTTCCTTTCTTCTTCCTCTTCTTTCCTCTTCCTCTCTCCTTCTTCACCCACTCACTTCCTCTACCTCTCTCCTTCCTTTCTTCTTCCTCTCTTTTTCCTCTTCTTTCCTCTTCCTCTCTCCTTCTTCACCCACTCACTTCCTCTTCCTCTCTCCTTCCTCTCTCCTTCCTCTTCGTCTCTCCTTCCTCACTGCTTCCTTTCTCCTTCCTTTTCCTCTTCCTCTCTCCTTCCTCTTCCTCTCTCCTTCCTCTCTTCTTCCTCTTCCTTCCTCTTCCTCTCTCCTTCTTCACCCACTCACTTCCTCTTCCTCTCTCCTTCCTTTCTTCTTCCTCTCTCCTTCCTCTACCTCTCTCCTTCCTTTCTTCTTCCTCTTCTTTCCTCTTCCTCTCTCCTTCTTCACCCACTCACTTCCTCTTCCTCTCTCCTTCCTCTTCCTCTCTCCTTGCTCACCCACTCACTTCCTCTACCTCTCTCCTTCCTTTCTTCTTCCTCTCTTCTTCCTCTTCTTTCCTCTTCCTCTCTCCTTCCTTTCTCCTTCCTCTTCGTCTCTCCTTCCTCACTGCTTCCTTTCTCCTTCCTTTTCCTCTTCCTCTCTCTTTCCTCTTCCTCTCTCCTTCCTCACTGCTTCCTTTCTCCTTCCTCTTCCTCTCTCCTTCCTCTACCTCTCTCCTTCCTTTCTTCTTCTTCTCTTCTTCCTCTTCCTTCCTCTTCCTCTCTCCTTCTTCACCCACTCACTTCCTCTTCCTCTCTCCTTCCTCTCTCCTTCCTCTTCGTCTCTCCTTCCTCACTGCTTCCTTTCTCCTTCCTTTTCCTCTTCCTCTCTCCTTCCTCTTCCTCTCCCCTTCCTCTCTTCTTCCTCTTCCTTCCTCTTCCTCTCTCCTTCTTCACCCACTCACTTCCTCTTCCTCTCTCCTTCCTTTCTTCTTCCCTCTCTCCTTCCTCTACCTCTCTCCTTCCTTTCTTCTTCCTCTTCTTTCCTCTTCCTCTCTCCTTCTTCACCCACTCACTTCCTCTTCCTCTCTCCTTCCTCTTCCTCTCTCCTTGCTCACCCACTCACTTCCTCTACCTCTCTCCTTCCTTTCTTCTTCCTCTCTTCTTCCTCTTCTTTCCTCTTCCTCTCTCCTTCCTTTCTCCTTCCTCTTTGTCTCTCCTTCCTCACTGCTTCCTTTCTCCTTCCTTTTCCTCTTCCTCTCTCTTTCCTCTTCCTCTCTCCTTCCTCACTGCTTCCTTTCTCCTTCCTCTTCCTCTCTCCTTCCTCTACCTCTCTCCTTCCTTTCTTCTTCTTCTCTTCTTCCTCTTCCTTCCTCTTCCTCTCTCCTTCTTCACCCACTCACTTCCTCTTCCTCTCTCCTTCCTTTCTTCTTCCTCTTCTTTCCTCTTCCTCTCTCCTTCCTCTACCTCTCTCCTTCCTTTCTTCTTCCTCTTCTTTCCTCTTCCTTTCTCCTTCTTCACCCACTCACTTCCTCTTCCTCTCTCCTTCCTCTCTCCTTCCTCTTCCTCTCTCCTTGCTCACCCACTCACTTCCTCTTCCTCTCTTCCTCTCCAGAGTGGCTCATTTCATCCCAGACATTATGCCGGTTGTCTCCGGTGACCAGATCCGTATCGGACAGATGGTGACCAACAGCCGGCTCCTACTGGGAGTCCTGGCCAAGGTACCGAATCTCCACTGCACCGAGCGACCGTCTGTCGGAGAGTTCGGTGGTTCTTTAGTCCGCCAGCAGGAGGAGGAAACAATATTTATATATTTATATATAAACAAATACAGGAAGTAACTCCTCCTGACTCTCCTCCTCTCCTCTTGGGGCAGTTAGCTGTTTCCATTTATGTTTCTTTATTATCGATACGAGAATCGGTACGAACGCCGTCGGTGATCTAACCGCTGTGTGTTGTCTCAGTGTGGCAGCGTGAGGGTGGACTCGGTGGAGGACTTCGCCTACGGGTCGGAAATACTCGTCAACGCCTCGGACAAGGTGATGTTCCAAGGTTCAGCAGTACAGTGTGCGAGCAGGTAGTGGTGCTAGCGGTAGTGACGTCTCTCTCTTGCGTTCCAGGTGTGCAGCCGCCCGGCGCTGAACGGCGAGGAGGTGGCGAGGAGGGCGGAGAAGCTGCGGGGTCACGTGCCGTACAGTCTGCTGTGGTACAACTGCGAACACTTCGTCATGTACTGTCGGTACGGCACTGTCGTGAGCTTCCAGACGTTCCAGGTGACCACAAACATCTTAGGAATAATCACCGGACGAATGTAGTGAATGTCACTTTTACCTTTCAACTATCTTCTTTAAGTAATTTTCCCCTGGGATTATTAAAGTATTTCTGATTCTGATTCTTCAGTTTATAGAAATTAATTATTTCACTATATGTTTTGCTCACAATCTAATCCAACGTATCCTAAACTAATTTATATTGAATTAATTAAAGGCTAACAACCGCACACAGATTTAGTGATTCAGTTCTTTAGATGTTTGGAAAAAAATTGGCAAAATTTGGTTGAAAAGTTAAAGTTTTATTGTAAACATTTACATTATAATAATGACTAATTGTACATATATAAATCAAATATATCCCAGTCAGTGAGACAGTTTATAGCAGCAGACTAACAGTTTCTGTGTTTTCTTGCTGCAGATTAACACTGATTACAGATCAGACCCTCTTTAATCGACTTAAGCTTTCCTGTTGCAGTAACAGTGGAGTCGGTGAAAGCTCTTATTGTTTCTATTGTTTCTACCACGTTGTTCCCACTGCAGCTTTGATTGCACATCAGATTATAATATGAATGTCTGAAGTTCACTGTAAAGCCAGAGGAGTTCATTTAACTAAACAAACTGTTGAAACTGAGTTGTTAAAGTAAAACTAACTCAGTTTTGTGAGTTAAAAGTTAAAATATTAGGTGACAAAGGCTTAATTTTGTCATTTTTATTTGTACTGAAAAAACAAAATGCCTAATAAAAAGTTATTAATCAGGAATATTTCTCTAACTACCAAAAGTGGCTTAATGAAGAATCTTCTTCAACTAAAAAAATGTATTTTGTATTAATTAAAAAGTTTGATGTAATCAGTTTAAACTATTTTTTGAGTTGAATAAATGTAAATAAATAAATCTGGTTTTAATATGTATCATTAAAGTTGATCACTAAAATAAACTGAAACTTAAATCAGCATCTAAAACTTGTTTGTACTCGGTTTGAATAAATAAAAATGTGTCTTCGTCAGTTCTGTAAGACGGTGAGGAAGCTGTTGCTGAGTCGGCGTGTTGCCAAGGTGACGGCGGTGCTGGGGGCGTGTCTTCTCCTCTACCTGAGAGCGGTGAGCGCCGCCCTGCTGGCCGTCCTGCTGCCCTCCCTCATCTGGATGGCCTCATAAACACTCAGATTAACGAGTGCATAAACTCTGTGTTCAGCAAAAGTTACATGAGAATAATCTGTACAAATGTAATAAATATTGTATTTTTCTGATATATATAATAAAACTAACAACAGTTATGCATTTCTTTATGTATTTTATTTCCAGAGTCGATATGTGTTGTTTTATTGCCCATGCTCAAAGAACATGTTTATTACATTACATATTTAATTAATGCAATTTTCATATATTTAATTTATTTTGTTTTGTTTCTTTTCTTTATTTAGCTCAATTTCTTTTCTTTTCTTTCTTTAATTTTCTTTTATTTCATTACTTTTATTAAAGTATGTTTTATTAAATTTTCCTTAATTAATTTAATTTAATTTATTTTCTTCTTGTTACTTTATTAAATTATCTTTTATTTAATTATCCTCTATTTCTTTAATTTAATTTAATTTATTTTCCCTCTTTGATTTAATTTATTTCATTCATTTTCTTTCCTTTAATTTCTTTAAATTTATTTTCTTTAATTAAATTTATTTTCTTTAATTTCTTTTATTTTTTAAGGGTAACGTATCTACGTGTTGTCCCGCCTTCCGTTCCCCAGATGACCGTTCTGATTGGCTCAGAGGGGGCCGCCCTTCACGTCAATCACCACGCGGTCCAATCAGCGTTGAGCAGAGTAAATAGAGCCGTTCCAGGTAAAGTTAGGCTCCTGATGAACTTTTAATTGAAGGTGTAACGTTGACCACCGAGCTGCTGCTGGTTGAGATTGAATCCCGCTGAGAACAACAACGTTTCACTGGGAGGAGAGATGGCGACGGACGGAGCTGGTGAGCGTTTATCTGATGACCGTTAAACGACCGTTAGTCGGATCAAACGGTTGCTACGTTACCGTTACGTTACAGCGCCGCTAGCATAACGGCTGCTGCGCTAGCTTTTAGCTCGTGGTGTTACTTTACTAACTGGATTAATTAGTAATAATAATATTAATATTAAAACAATAATAGTTAATTCACTGGTTGGCAAGTGAACTCCTCCACATGTGGGACCTGGAAACACACAAAAAAGACAAATAAAGTTAGCTAAATAGCTAATTTATTAAAAAAAACTTTAAACTGAACAAACAGACATTATTAAGAGTTGTTAAACAGTAAAAGTGAATACAAGCAGCAAAAGAGACATCCAAAACAACTAAAATATATAAAATATAGGTTAAATTAACTTTAATGTATTCAACGTCCTCCTATAGAAACAGGTTTCAGGTTATATTGAAGTTACTTTTAGAAGGTTTCCTGCAGAGATAATAGTTGTGTGGCAGATTATGGGCTTAAATACGGTTAAATGTGGCTCATCTGACACTGATTCTGTACTGTTCGGTGGTTTAATCGTCTTAAAATGGATTTTAATTGTGGTAATGATACACTAAAATGACATTTCCTTTCAAAAAAGACACTTTAAAGCTGCAGCTGCTGATTATTTATATCCTCACATGTTAGGAAACAACAACTATTTAACATTATTACTTGAAAACTAACAGTTGTTGATTAGTAAGCTGATTGATATCTGTCGATGAGGATATTCTGCAGTGTAGAGCGGGTTGTCACATTTCACTGTCGCTGTTTGTCGCGCAGACAGCGACAGAGCGTCGGACGGAGAGTCGGAGGGCCTCTCCGGTAGAGTCAGCCCGCTGGTGGGCGAGGACGAGTTCAAGGCGTCCTGCGCCAAAGAGATGGCGCTGCTCGACCTGATGGAGAAGACGGGATACAACATGGTGCAGGAGAACGGGCAGAGGAAGTACGGCGGACCCCCCCCAGGTGTGTAAAGACCACAGAAACATATGTGACTGAAGGGCTTCATTCAGGAGCTCACAGACTGTTTAAAATAATGTTTCTGACCTCCGTGTTTCGGTGCCGCAGACTGGGAGGGGCCGCCGCCCCCGCGGGGCTGCGAGGTGTTCGTGGGGAAGATCCCCAGAGACATGTACGAAGACGAGCTGGTGCCGCTGTTTGAGACGGCCGGCAGGATCTACGAGTTCAGGCTGATGATGGAGTTCAGCGGAGAGAACCGCGGCTACGCCTTCGTCATGTACACCAACAGGTAGCTGCCACAGGAACAGCTCAAACATCAACCTGTAAAACCGCTTTATAATAATAATAATAATAATAACGTCCTGGTGCAGGGAGGCGGCGCAGAGAGCCATCCAGACACTGGACAACCACGAGATCCGTCCGGGGAAGCTGATCGGGGTGTGCGTGAGTCTGGACAACTGCCGCCTCTTCATCGGCTCCCTCCCTAAAGACAAGAGGAAGGACGAGATCATGGAGGAGATGAAGAAGGTGACAGAGTAGAAATGTGGAATAAACTAATTGGACGGAGGTGCCTCTGCCTTCGTCCGTCCCCGAGGCGTCAAATTAAAAACCCTCGAGGGAATAAATTAGTTTGTAAAACGTTTTTTTTGGACTTCGTTGCCTCCAATTAACTTTTGGAAAAAAGTTCAAATAATATTTTTAACTTTAAAGTTCAGCAGAAAGAAGTCGACTCGAGCAGCAGCTGAACACACAGTTTTAATTGGTGGCGCATTGTGTGTGTGTGTGCGTGTGTGCGTGTGTGCGTCTCCCAGGTGACGGACGGCGTGGTCGATGTGATCGTGTATCCGAGCTCCACAGATAAGAGCAGAAACCGAGGTTTTGCCTTCGTGGAGTACGAGTCCCACAAAGCGGCAGCCATGGCGAGGAGGAAGCTCATACCTGGTACACACCTCCTCCTCCTCCTCCTCCTCCTCTTCCTCCTCTTCCTAAATCTCCTGACTCTGGGTCAGTTCCTGTCTACAGTTCCTGTGTTTGTCCAGCAGACGGCGGTAGAACACCACAGAACACTGCAGTCTAATACAACAGTGAGGTCCTCCTGTTCAGTTCTTGTTTGTTATATTTTATAGATTAATATTTAACTTTGTACATTCTGGAAGATGTAGTTTGTGTTCAAGGATCAAACACATTATTATTATCATTTTAAAACAAGGTTTAATGCTGCACAGAGCTAAAGATAACAGATAATTACATTCATATCAAATAAATAATATAGAATCAGAAACTATTTTCACATTTAAGTCATTTTTCAGGCAGAAATATTCAAGAATTACTTGTTACAACTTTTTATTTCTGAGGATTTGCTATTTGCTACTTCTTATTTATTGATAGTAAATCAATAATTTGGGGGTTTTGGGCTGTATTTAAATTAAATTAATCAAGAAAATAAATGGCAGATTCATTGATAAAGACAATATTTATTAATTGCAGCCCTAGAAAAACATATAACATCCTTAAAAAGGATCAACACAAACTGAACTTTATATTCATTACAGGACAGTTATAATAATAATAAAGTGCTGTATGTCTCTCCTCAGTCAGACACTGGAGGCTCAGTAACCACTTAGTTAAATCTGTTACTAAAATCCGTTGCACCATCATAACGTAGCTGCTGAGGCTGTGGATCAGGAGGTAGAGCGGGTCGTCCACTCTACATCCATATTGAAATATATCAATAAATTAGCTCTGTACTTGATTAACGTGTCAAAAAATGGCTGCAAAAAAATATGTTTTGTGGCAGATAAACTTCAGTTTTAGCATCAGTGAGTTTACGCTGAATATAGAAACAGATACTGTAAGCTCACAGCAGCATCTACTGTTAATGAACCCGAGTTTACAGGACAGTCAGACTGTGTCAGGATGAAGCTGCTATCTCTCCTGTCCCACTACTGTGGGCTGAACTATAAGAAAGACTCAATACAACCTTAGTGACTCTCTGACGACTCCAGAGTCTGCTGTCAGCTACAGGGAATGGTCAGAGCTGGATGGTTTGATGGTGGAAACTGGAAGAAGTTGGAGAATAATCCCATCCTCTGGGTTCCCATGTGTCCTTGGAAATCTGGACATTTAGAGACTAGTTTTCCAGTCATGGAAACACCTGGAAATAGAATAAAATGACCAAAAATTCCAGTGTCCTGGAAATGTTTTATTAGCTTGTAATTGTAATTGTAGTGTTTTTTTTTTTTTTTTACTTAAGTAGGAATTTTGGCTCCCATCCTGCCCACTCCTGTTTGACTTCTTTCCCGATAAAATGTCCACCTCCACTCCGCAGTCGCAGCGTCACTCTGTTATAACACAGAACCCAGAGAGTCTGCTCTTTTTTTTTCTGTCGAGGTATCTGAGGTCTGTGCTGTAAATCTGTTGGTGCAGATCAATGAGCAGCACTGCTGGAGGGCAGTGTTGGACTTCAGTGTGATACAGTTCATTGATTCGTCTATCTGGTTAACCCTCCCGAACGCAGTTTATCGGAGGTCGTTTTTCACAAACTCGGGAACCTCACCTGAGTTTCCAGCTGAGGAATCTGAGGCTAACTTGAAGTTCCAAGTAACAAGAGAGTTCCTGTTCAGGGCTGGTAGTTTCTCCCAGGAGCTACAGGGGCCTAATACAGATAATTCACTCAATTCTCAAGTATTTGTGAGAGTAAAATGTATCAATACGTCAGATTTTAAGCCCCACCCACTCCGAGTACAGATGATTTTCATGAAACGAGAACAATAGGAACTGCAACATCACAGCCCTCAGTTTATAACACTGCTATCTTGCGGTTATTATTATACTAACACTGTGAAACAACTCCTCACTGTAACCTACACCAGAGACAGGGTTTGTAACTGTTGCCAGGAGGTTGTGACCCTGCTGTTCTCCACAGGAACCTTCCAGCTGTGGGGTCACTCCATCCAGGTGGACTGGGCCGAGCCCGAGAAGGACGTGGACGAGGAGGTCATGCAGCGCGTCAGAGTCCTTTACGTGAGTCAAATCATATCTGATTTCCACAGATGGATTCAGGGGGGGCAAATCAATTTTTTTTTTACTTGCTTTTGTTGAATTTTAGAAGGTTTTAAAGCCATCGAACACTTTATATCCCAGAGAAAGTTCATGAGGCTGATCAAGGATAAAGATGTGTGTCGTCTGCATAATATGACATAATATAAAGTATATATGTGTGAAACTTGTGTGTGAAATGTGAGGAAACTTCTTGTGTAATCGATCCGAAACGAGGAAATGTAGATAAAGTTGGAGGATTATACAGTTTTGTACAGTTGAGACAGTTTATTATGTGAGTCGTGTTCCCTCTATCCCCCCAAAAAAGCCCCATTTCAGCCCAAAGTGTAAAAACTTTCCAGAACCTTTAATTCGGGCTCACTCCAAATAAAAAGGTCAGCTCCTGCTTCCTGCTCCCCCTGTCCTCCCCCTGGCGGCTCCGCAGCCAAAGGTCAGTGTTTCTGGAAGAGGCCTGTGAAATATTCAGCAGCCTTGTTCGGATCAAAGGTGAGAGAGAGTGAGGCGGCGGGGAGGAGGCTCACAGGAGGAGCCGCACACGCCCTCCAGGGGATCAATTACTGTGGAGGCTTTTACTCTGAAAGCCTGAGATGTGATCTGAGGGCAACAAACACAAAAGCCCCTCGCAGACGTGTGAGGGAGAGTATTTTTAGCAGAGGAGGAGGCCCAGAGGTAAATAAAGCCCTCAGTGTGTGTGTGTGTGTGTGCAGGGAGGACTTCTCATTTACTACAAATCAAGACTGCTAATGATTTCACAAACAACGCTGTAATTATGCTGTCAGGTGCAACGACTTACAGGATAATTACAGTTAATTACAGCCCTGTCATTCATATCAAATATCAATAATAATATCAGCGTTTTTTTTTTTTTATTGTTCCCAACGAGGAGAGAAAGTATTCTCTGGGTGGCCACGTCGAACCCACGTCTGAACTTTTCAGAAAGGCGCTGACGTTGTTGCTGCCGCTCATTTTCAGGCACCAGTTGTATACCAGTTGGAGGACTAGTCACCATGGTAACAAAGAACATGGAGGAGAAGCCTGTTCTGAGTCCCATCGAAGAAGAGTGCTTTTTAACTTTTATTTTATGAGAAAGCACAGGAAGTCATCTCTCCTGTTAGCGCTAGCTTCACAAAAGTGGCTGTATTAGGTTTATTTTCTGCTTGTTCCACAATTGTTTGATAAATTGCTGATTAAATAGTTTGAATTGCTGTTTTTATTCTCAAATCTCTGTGCTTTTTCTTTTGGTGCTGGCTAAAACGTCTTTGGTGGGCGCCAAAACATCCTGGCTGTGATGAGGCGTCACAAGAAAGTGTTGTTTTTTCTGTAAACAATAATCCAGTTTGTGTTCCAGGTGCGTAACCTGATGCTGAGCACCACCGAAGAAACCCTCCGCCAGGAGTTCTCTTGCTTCAAGCCGGGCTCCGTGGAGCGAGTTAAGAAACTGACCGACTACGCCTTCGTTCACTACCGCTGCCGTGACGACGCCATCACCGCGCTGAGCCTTATGAACGGAGCCCTGATCGACGGCGTCAGCGTGGAGGTGACGCTGGCCAAACCGGCTGGGATCAAAGACGGGAGCGTAGCCGGGAGGAGGTACAACAACAGGGGATACCTGGGAAACAACGCAGCAGGAGGAGGAGCGAACGGAACGTTTCTGCTGCACAGGAACGACGGAGGCGTAATGGGCGGAGCTGTGGACGGATGCTCTCCACTGAGAACACTGTCCACACGCCTGGGGAGCCCCTTCTACAGCGGAGGTGAGGATTACTGATTGATCATCATTTATTAGGATGATTAGCATTATTGTAAATTACCTCTGCTCTCTTATCAGTTTAACAATCCCACAATGCAACGCTGCACACTTAGAGATGGTTGAGCTGCTCTACAGAATGAACTGTAGAGAGAGGATTGTTCTGTGTTCGTCAGGGAGCAGTAAGTGATTGTAAGAAGGTTGTTACTCCATAAATTAGGGTCGGGTCGGTTTTTTTATGTCTGATGTGTGAACTTAATCTGGCATTAGTTTTTGTGTATACAAATAGAGGCATTGACAAGGCTTTTATTGTGAAACATTTGCAGAAACAGGTTGTGGAACTTTTTATGTTGCACTCGAGAGTGGCAGAGTGGTTAATATCTAGCTTAATATCTAACTAATTAAATAATTAAAAACACAAACAATTGACACATAATAATCAGTTGGAGTTCTAGTTAAGAGTCCTTAATATAAAATATATAAAATATCTTTGTGAGTAAAACTGTACCTGCACAGTAACATCGACTGTTTGATCTACATTCAGCTCACAAAAGATTCCACGTGAAGATAAATTAATTTTGACTTTGGGGAAACTTTTCCACGGTATAAAAAGAGAGAGAGCACTTTTCAGCCAATTTAAAACGCTCATGTGCAGCAGCTTCTGAAAGATGGGCGAATATGAATCATTAATCATCATCATCTTCACATGGAGCAGAATGATCATTTCCATTAGATAGGACTGTGCAGCCTGAAGCTGCTCAATGATTATACTTTTTATACAGTAACATCAATTCTTTCTGCTCTGTTTTTCTTCTTCTCACTTCTTCATGATCAAATATCACAAAGGGTTTCGATCAAATACGGGCTCTCATTCATAAAACTCTTATTTCTCTCATAATATCAAGATAAATATCTCCAATTTCATATCACAGTACCTTATATTGTCCAGTTCTACTTGTGCTGAGGGGGTTCTCTATAAGCCCAGACATTTTTCTGTCTCAGGAAGATTTCTCCCAAAACTGCCCAAAATAATGTTGACAGGAAAGTTTGTTCAGAGCCCGACCATCCAAACAATCAATATCACTTTCTCCAGGAGAGTTTGTGTTGGTACAGAAACTCTAAAGCCGGGCTCAGACTACAGCTGATTACCTTTAGATTCAAAAAGTCAATGTACGACAGCTTCTGGCAGACAACCACAACACATGCTCTAAGGAGATATGACCCCATTGACGGAAACGTTACGGATTATAACTTTAAACCTCGCTGACCTGCTCGCAGACTAATTGAGGCTGATCATTTCAAACGTGTTTGATATTTAGGAGTTAAAATCTGGATGATTACGTGTTGACAAGCAGCTGTAAACTTTAGCCAGCAGACAACTGTTGATTGATAATAACACTAATATTAATATCCTGTAGGACCGATAACAATATACTAACTTCTTTGATACCGCACCTGATACCACTAAGGTGGGTGGAAGAGAAGCCATATCAGCAGTTTGGAGATATTTTAAGCAACTCAGTCAGTCATCAGTGAGGAACATCTGATGAAAGTAAATCATGTTTTTAATGTTATCGTTAGAACTGTAATGGTATTATTAAGTACTCGGTATCTGCGAGTATCCAAATGTAAATTCTTTACAACACCAGTGAAATTCCCTGATTCCTGACACCCAATTTGATCCCACGATATAAAACAATGAATCTCCTATACTTCCACATACACTCCTTTATTAAAAACATTTGAGTATTCAATACAATAAAAGTAGCACGTAGCCTTCAAGTAAGTAAAAAGAGGCAAATACTCAACATACTCTGTTCCACTCTTTAGTTGATGGGTTCATTGTCATACAGCCTACATGAGTCTTATTGTTTTACTTCACGTTTTAATACCTTTCTTCGACTTCTGTAAAACATCAGACTTTTCACACCATCAGACTGGCGTCGCGCTGCCCTCCGTTTCTATCACAGTGATAGTCTTCTGGTCATTTTAAGACTCGATTTGTATAAATATCAAAGCAAATATAAAAGGGTCATCATTACGCGTGAGAGCTGCTCCTCCTCCTGCAGGTTCGACCCCTCGCCTAAATCAAACTCTCAGGATGACGCCGTTCTTCTGGTGGTCGTTCTTGTTCAGACTCCCTGTCTTTTGGTCTGCCTGTAAAATCCTTCTGTTTTATTCAATACGACGAGTTTTCAGTTTTCATCTAGAGCAGATTTTGACTTTGTCTCATCCATTACAAACCACATTCATCAAGTCTTACTCGTATATTGACGCAGCCGCGATAATAATCTGGTGATGAAGCAAAACTCCCGATTTCCTGACGCCTGCAGACATTTTCTGAAAATGAGAAAAGTTTTACAGTTAACTCTCCCACAAATGGACTGTGAAATATTTATGAGAGGAGCGATGTCCTACTACAAAAAGAGTGATGGAGGAAGAAGTATATGGTTATATTTGTGGAGGGATGAGAGAGAGAGAGAGAGAGAGAGAGAGACTCATGGGGAGAGGAATTAAAGATTCACTTTGCTCAGTACATAGTCGAGAAAGAGATTCAGATGGGGAGAGCTGGACAGAGGCAGGAGAGGGTGGAGAAAAAGGAGTGAACGGCAGAGAAAGACTGAATGCAGAAAGATTGATGGCATGAAAGAGGAAAAAGATTTAGAGAGACAGATAAATGGAGGGAGAGATTTAAAGCGAGAAGCTATTTCTGTCCGGCAGCTGAAGGACTTTAAAGCGGCCTGATGTTCAGTTACACATAAAGCTCAATAATGACCGTGATTAACAGTATCTGAGCTGTTATCTTGATCAATAAATGAATCAGAACGCAGCGATTCCTTAAATCCATGAAGATTTTCTCTTTTAACTGTTTTATAATACTATACTTTTATATAACTTAATGATTAACATACAACTTATATTGTCGCTGATTAATGTTCTGTCACTAATTTGACTAATTGATCCTTCGTATGTCGAAAACACAACCACGGGTAGTTTAAAGGATGAAAGCTGTTATTGGAGCACATACCAAAAAGGGGCGGGGCTTATGAATGGTGAGTTTCAGCTCTAGCTTGTCTTTCTCTTGACCCGTTTCCACAGCAGGAACACAGCAGACTAAAGTAAACGCTATGCTAACTTTAGCTCTGTAACTTGTTTTTGCACACAGTGGCTGCTCCAGTTTGTTGCAGTGAGATATAAAAGCCGTCACACATTTCTACAGATTAAACCAAAGCAGACGGAGCAGCTCACGTTTACATTTAATCAGGGAAACCAGAGTTGGTTGCAGCCACTGAAGGCTTTAAGATAAAGTTCATATTGTGTTTAAGATGAGCGTGTCGAGACAGAAGAATCTCCTAATGAAGGCTCTCCTCGGCTAAATTAATGACATAATTAACATGAGTGGACATGTCTCATATTTCAGTAGCTCAAGTGTTTTGTTTACAGACTGCTAATGATTTCTGAAGGTGACTTGCAGCTCCGACATCTGTCTACTTGAATCTTAAACCAACTTCGAAGAAACTCTTTCCACACATTGAAACTGAAAGAGAAGAAGAGAGTCTGGCTGACAGAAAGCGATGATGAATCATATATCTGGATGGAGATGAACGGAGAGATTTAACTGGGGGAGTAATGGAGATGTAAAGTTAGTCAGATAGAGAGCTGAGTCAGTCGCCTTTTAATGACCAGATAACTGGAGATGGTTCTGTTCTGCTGCTGGAGTCTGAATGTAAGACTGAGGTACAGTAGTTATCAGACTCAGTGTTTGGTAGCCGAGTGAGCAGCCGTGATTGTTAAAGCAGAACTTATTCACAAATCTGAATATGTTGGAGCTAAATGCTAATCCTGTGAGTGTGTGTGTGTGTGTGTTTGTATCACAGAGGACCCAGACAGGTGTGTGTTCCCCCTGTTTCCGGGCACCCCGCTCTCTCCCACCAGCCTGCTGTCCCTGAAGCAGAGTCAGATCGGGTCCGCCATCAGCTTGCTCGACTTCTACTGCCGCAAGAACTACTGGTCGCAGCCGGAGTACCACCTGTACTCCACGCCGGGACAGGACGGGAAGCTGCTGCTCCTGTACAAGGTCTGTACACCAAACCCCAGCGCTAGATTACTCATTTTTAACTGCACAGTGCATCATCATCACCTTCCTTTACTGTATTGTCGTCTCAGTGGAAACACACTGTTACGTCCTCTATAAATAAATAAACCAGGCTTCACTCGAGACTGGAGCATATAAAGGATGCCAACACCGGTAATTGGGAGGAAAACCCCCAAAATCAAAAAGAAAAAGAACAAAAGGGGGCGGAGATCTCAGCCAGAAAGAACAAAAGAGAAACCGCTGAGGCAGCTGCACAGTCGGCCATCACATCGAGCTGATTCCACCTGAAGAAAAACATCTAAATAAACCAACTGAGAACTCAACTAACACTGAATTTTATTGTATTGGTTCTTTGTATGGAGCATAAACAGATGCTACACACCAAATTTAGAGTTTTGTCATTTATTTTTTGTTAATTCAATTTAGTTTTCCAGAGGGACTTCTTCAAGTTTAGTTTTTAGTAGTTTCAGAGTTTGTTCTTAAATATTTATTAAGGGACAATTTTAAGAAGAAACACAATACAAACACTCACAGAGACAATAAACAGATGTAACCTGTAAATCTGTATTATATTTTAGTTTGTTCTTTAAGTACAAAGTCTAGTTTTTATTTTTATTTCAGTTGCTTGGTTTAAGTAAATAAACTCACTGCTCGATGATCTTTTACATTCACACCAGAAATAAACAAACACTGGTGTCAAAATGTTAAAATACACAATAAACAATGAATGTTTATTTGTTTGTTTGTGTGCAGGTGGTGATCCCGTCGACACGGAGCACCTTCATCCCCGACAAACTGTGTGCACTGCTGGACGACGCCAAAGAGCTGGCTGCTCAGACCACGCTGTGGAACCTGGGTACTGCTCACACACACGCACGCGCACACACACACACACACACACACTTCACCTTCAACGTTCAGAAACCGTATCGATATTGAATGCGTCAATAATCAACCTACTGTTTGTGAGCAAGAGATGTCCTGTAATGTCAAAAAAAAGGATTTCTTAAAAAGAGTGCGAACCCTGACAAACTAGCTCTCTTCAAAATAAAAGTCCACTCTTGTTTCTGCGGTTAAATGCTCTTAATGTGAAGCTGCAGCAGCAGGAAATTTTCAGTTTGCGTAACTTAATACAGCTTTTTGTCCGGGAACAAAAAGTATCCAAAGTTTTCCCAAAAGTGAAACCAAGAACATCTGGATCATCAAACCAAGATTTGTTGAAGATTTGTTAAAGATTTGATGAAGATTTGATGAAGATTTGATAGGAGTGAGTCGACATTTTAATTGTCAATATCACAGACGATCATGTTCATTGATTGTGTGAAATCCTGATTGCGATTCATTGAAGGATCCTCGGTCCTAAGTGTCAACAAAAAAGCAAACTTCTGCTTGAAATCCTGACGATGGCATAAGAGCTAAACAAATGATGAGGAGGTTAAGTTTTAATCTCTTTTCTTGCTCTGAGTTTCATTTAAATGTTAAACTGTGAAAGTTTTCTCCTCCACAGACCCCCCCAGCTGTGATTTTACCCGTTTATGTTGTTTACACTGGCGCCTCGGCGTTGTAAAGGCTGCTGTTTGTTCCAGTTTTTATGATCGTTGTGCTGAGGTGTTAATAATCTACAGGACGATGCATAGCATTTTAAAGCAGTCTGTTTGTATTCATACAGCAGCGACAGCCCGGAGCTAAAGCAGCACAATAATGTGTATCTGCATTATTACTTTTTACAGTCTCAATCTCACCATCATCATTTATTCACATTATTTCCACTTCTGCTGTTTCACTTTGTGCAGATGAAGGAAATGAAACTGGGTCGGACGCCACAGGAGTCAAATAATAGTAAAAATAATGTGATGAGATCTTCCTGTGGCTCCTTGTGGACTCATTCGAGTGGCAGTGAGACGTTCTCGAGTGTTTTCAGGTCACCTGAGCGCTGCAGGAACATTTGAATCCCAGTAAAGAGTTTTACTGGAGGAGCGAACAGGATTGGCAGCCACGTTGTGTATTGTCTGAAGCAGCTGTCAGAGTCTGAACTGGAGCCATCTGGAGCTCCCTCTGAGCCAATCACAGCACCTTTGAGGAGTTTCTGTTTGACGTGAGATATTTGAAGTTAAACATCACCTGCAGAGCGATGGCTGAAGGGAGATCAAAACTCCCTTCGACTTATCTGCATTGAAACATTTACGGCGTTGAAATCGCTCACATTCAGAGCCCAGAGTGGTTTCATAACGCTGGGACTAATCCAGCAGCTTCCTGTCCGACCTGACTTATTTATCTGAGTGAGGTGGCTTTATTTTAACATTACCTGCAGTGCTCAGTGGTTTTAATCCCACAAATAATTAGTCATAAATGTTATTAAATCTCATCCTGAGCAAGGTTCTTGTATTTGTTTTGACTTTTGTGTGACCTGTGGATCAACACCGACCTAAAAGCAGGTACTGTTATTCTCTTTTCTCCATTAAAAGTAGCCGAATAAGCTGTTAGCAGCTCCTGTTAGTGGCACACTCATTGTTATTTAGACAACTCTCTCTGGTTTACTGTGACACCGAAGAAAACCTGATAATTCTAAAGCAACTTCTGCAGTTATACAGAGCTTCTTTTTTCTAGGATTTATCTGAGTTTATTCAAGATCGACATACAAAATACTGGCATCCCCTGAATGTGTAAGTGAAGTGAATCGATAAATGTGTGTATCATGTCAGATTTTATTGAGTTTCAACTCTGCAATTTCTTCACCCAAAACTCAAAACTAGCAAATGACCTCCATTTAAAGTAGCCGAATTAGCTGTTAGCAGCTCCTGTTAGTGGCGCACTCATTGTTATTTAGACAACTCTCTCTGGTTTACTGTGACACTGAAGAAAACTTAAAAACTTGATATTTCTAAGGCAACTTCTGCAGATAATTAATAAGTAATTTCTAAATTTATTTGAGTTTATTCACAATTGATATGAAGATAATGACCTCCAATCATCTACTGTAGTTGCACAGATACTGTTACTGTGTGTGTGTGTGTGTGTGTGTGTGTGTGTGTGTGTGTGTGTACCTGTAGCACCCTCCTCTGAATAAACACTCAGAGATGTTGATCTTGGACTATAATTCCCGCCTCGGTGTAGATTAGGACGCAGAGATGTTTGAACAATCTCCCATCATGCCTTTCTTGTAACACACACAGCTGTTGTGTCCTGACGACCATCCCCTCTGAAAATAGAGCTGAGTTTTACCAAATGTGTCTCTGGGGGTTTGGAGCTTAAGTGCAGCATCAGTTCAACCATCCGTGCAGTGAAGTGTGGGACTCTGGGATCAGCGTGAAAAAGGAAGTTAGAGCTGCGTAGAGAGGAGGGTGAGAAAATGTGATTCGGAGGTAAAATGTTTTTTAATTGACTCGCAGGAAGCAGGTCCGAACCTCCAACCACCCGCCAACACTAACGCAATTAAAACATTTTTTTTTGGACACAAGTCGAGTAAAGTTGGCTACTGGAAGTCGGCCCTGTGGTGGACGCTTTTAATCAAACTCTCTTACACTGCATCCATTTTTCATCACTCCGCAGGGAGCTGAAGATCTGTGCCAGCTCAGCCCACAACATACAACGTCTCCCCCCTTTCTCCTCCCCCCCCATATCTGCTGCCCTTCCCCTTCTCTCCCTCCTCTATGTCTCTCTCTCGGTCTGCAGGAGCTCACGTAGTATGTTTGAAACTGGAAACCACAAAGAAAGAATCTGCAGAAGTTGAATTATTAACTGTGATTTTACTCACTGCTCTTATAAACACTGTTAAAAAACTGGGTTTTTGGTTCCACTTTTATGGTTTCAGGTTGAAACGTTGCTGAAGTTCTGCAGTGTTTTGTGAACTTTGTTTCGCCCCTCAGTGGTACACAACCTGAGTGGAATACCTGCAGACACTACTCAGGGCTGAAAAATAATAATACATCTATTTTTATTTACAGTTTATATTCTTTTCAAAGGTACCAGTGAGTTTGGTGGTGTAGATGGTTGCAACTCGCTTCGCCGTCCCCTTTAAAGTGTGTAGGAGAAACTATGGTGGCTGCGAAATGTGCAGAAAATGTAAAAATCCTGTTCTAGAGAAAGTGTTTGAAAGGGTTTGTCTGTTCTAAGGTAGAGAAAACACCCCTCCGCTATTAAACACAGGACCTTTAATTTACTCATCGACTGATGTCTCATACTATCATCTTTTAAAGTACTTTTGGTACTTTTTTGGAGCTACTAACGGTCAAACTCGACAGAGGACATTTCATATGATGATTAACTACAGAGAGAGTCTGGAAACGATCTCTGGAACTACCTGTTTATTATCTGTTAGCTCGTGTGTTTAGCCAGCAGGGAACATAGATGATTATTTTGAGTTAGGACGGTTCAGTTGGGGCTTCGGGGGATACACAACCCCGAAGACGAGCTGAGGGAAATCAGAGTCCAACTGTATCTGTGGAGACTGAAGCTAAATATTTATGTCACTTTTTCTCCCATCATCCTCTTTGTTCTTTACCTCCCTCCCTCCTCCCTCCTTCCTCCCTTCATCCCTCCCTCCTTCCTCCCTTCATCCCTCCCTCCTTCCTCCCTGTGTCCTCTCCTCCAGACTCATCCTTCCTCAACGGAGCTTCCTGCGATTCTCCCAGCAGCCCCTCTCCTCCGCTCGCCATCAACTCTTCCTCCTCCTCCGCCAACAGTCCCGGGGTGATGACCTGCGCCGGCAGAGCCTTCCCCTCCTGCCTCCCTCCTCCACCTCCTCCTCCACCGCCCTCCCCCCTTCCCTCTCTCCCCTCTCTCCCCCCTCTCTTCTCTGTCGTCGCTCTCCCCTCCCACCCCCCAATCACAGAGGCTCTACATCAGCTCCCAGTCGCCTTTCTACTGACGGTGAGACACACTGCTGTTTACTGCAGATAGTGAGAGAGACTGTGGATCCACAGTGTGATCATCAAAATATTGATCACAGAGACTCTCAATACCATCACAATACTTTTTACTAGAACCTTGGAAAAAGTTTATCATACACTTTTTTTATTGCATTACTATAATAATGTTACAGTAATATTACTTTCCCCAATATATAGCAGTGCCACTAATTACTAACACATTTCAGTAATTTCTGTATATTTTTATTCAGTTTGGAGCAAAATGGTCAAAGACAGTTGATAAAAAGAGGGGCCTTCATTTGTTGTTTCATACAGAAACATGCTGGTTTTTGTTAAATACGATGTTAGAAATGGAAATATTCTCATAATATTTAACTTTCTTGGAGTACTTGAACGTTGAAGTGGCCTTTCTACAAGATCACAGTACCAGTAGTGGCCCTGGTTTAACCCTATCGCCCACCTCATCCCCATTTATAGCTAAACTATTCGACTAGTCACACCCGGGGGCCGTATGGGCTCGTCACCCAAATCTAGTTAAAATACAGTAACCACAGGTCTTACTCCTCTTGTACTTCTGATCCTCCTCATATTTCTGTTATTATCTGTGGGTATTATTTCTGGATGTGGAGCAGGTTTCTCTCCATGTGTTTTGAGTTTTATTGCCACAGTAAAAGTGTTCTTATTTGCACATTAAACATTTCATTCAGTGATGTAAAGATGTGACATTTTGTTGCAGGAGACCTCAGCGGCGATGGGACGATTCGAGGACGAGAAGGAGAAAAGGCAGGACTGTCTTTATTATGATTCCAGATATTCCCCAACGCAGTGTTTGTGTGATGGGCCGCTGCCTCTGGCACAGACGGACCAACAGAAAACGTTTGTTTCATTCCTCCCTTTTATTTTGAAATGTTATCTCAGTCAGAGATGAGGGAGGGAAAGGACAATATTTAGTTTTCGATCAGCCACTCAGCTTCTTCTCTCTATCACCTCTTTTAGTTTAGAAAACTAAACCAATGGAGAAACAAAGATAAACACAGTTTAGTTTCACAAAACACTAACTGATAATAAATTTCTCTCGACCTCTGTTAAATGTCAGCCTCCTTCCCTTTTCCTCCTCTCTGTGTTCATTTTCCTACAGCCAAAGTTCCCCTTATACTAACCATAATGCACAGCAGGGACACGGATATATATATATATATAAACTTTTATACAACCCTGCCTCCAATTTATTTGGTTGGTTTTTCTTATCTGTTGGGGGCAATTTTTCCAGTTGAAATCAGTTTAAAGAATAGTTTTGTTTCCTAAATTGAACCAAACTGCGACTGAAACCTGAAAATAATACGCCAACTATGTCTTTACATCAACCTCCTTTCCTATGTGTGATAGTCCTTTATTTATAGCTAAACTATTCGGCTATTCACATCCGAGGACTGGAGCAAATACACAAAAAAAAAAATCAGCTTTCACATTGGACTCGAATGCTGGTCTCCAGAGAAAGTCCTGAGTTTAACCCATCGGCCTCCCTATGTGGACAGTTTATAGCTAAAATATTCAGCTATTCACACACGGGGGCCCGGGTGCGAATAGCTGAATAATTACTGTATGGACTTATCAACCAGGTGAAAATAGACGTTAGTTTTTTAGGTATAAAAGTTGGACAAAAGTTGTGATTTACACTTTAAATAAACATTTGATCTTCCTTGTGATGATTCAGACTAAAGAACCAATCTTTTCCTCTGTGAGAAAAGTTTCACTTTGAACATTAATGCCGTCGTTTTTAGGATAAAATGTGTTTTGAGTTTTTGATCCTCACTCAGGCTCAGTCTGGTAGTTTTGAGAGTACGGGGCTCCATTAGAGTGAATTACACAGGAAATAACAGAAAATGTAAAAGGATTGAGAGATTTAAAAAAACCACAGCCTTTTCCACGACATTAGTCAGGTCTGATTTCCATTTCCTTTCATCCTCCCATTACACCACTCATCTCTGGAGAGAGAGCTAAAAACAGAGGAAGGGGAGGAGGGCTAACTTAACTTTCTTCTTCCAGAGGAATGTTTGTAGCTACTGATCCCTTTCATGTTCGTGTTAACCCGAGTTATCTGAGGGACCACAAAGGCAGATTTTAGGCGTCCGTCCATCCAGCTGATTTCGCTAAACGTTACCGGTCATCTGAGGAGAACGGGACCCCATTTTTTCATGTTTCCTAATTGGCTGAAAAGACTCAACGTCGCGAGAAAGCCGAGACCGTTTGAGCCTCCGGTCATCGGAGAATGCGGAAAGTTGTTTACACGTTCCTCGGTTTGCTTGACCCACTTTACCACTGTGTTTTTGTTTTTAGGCTCCAGTAATCAGAAGGAGCAAGAGAAAAAAAGCCTTTGAGGGCAGATTTAAGATATTTTTCCTTTAGATTAAACATACATATATCTGTTTTTGCTCCTAATTTAAGTTCACTGAGAAAACAGAAACAGAAAGTTGTTATAACAACACCATTAAATGTATTCTTCCATGTTTCCTAATTCGGCCAGTTTCATGGTTTCCTCCTCGGGTTTTCACAGTGTGGTTTGGGAAGTTTCAGGTAAAACAGAACGTTTGTTTTATCAACTTTAAATTCTACAATTAAAAAAAATGTATCAAATACATTAAATTTGGTTACTTCTGGGGCACCAAAATAAATACATTGAGTAAAAAAAGATTTGCCTTCCTAAAACTACTTTGGAAAACTAAATGTACAAGAAGTTTAATGAGTAAAACTATAAAAAATCAAAGTAATTAAAATAATTTAAGAGACTTTTTCCTTTTGGTGTCTGAGATCTGGAGGATGAAAGCAGGAAGTGTCTATATTTATTTATCAGAGGAGAAGAAATGAGAAGCAGAGTGGACACGAGACACAGAACCAGAGTTTGGAGGTTTTTCCAACTCTGAAGGTTTTATTGATCTGTCTTTCCACAGATCAAACAGTTTGAAGGCAAATTATTCTTCTGTGCGTTCATGTATTGTTTATGTTTATTGATCTGTTCAGACTGAGCAGCCGATGGATGTTTTGGTTATTTTTGTCAGTTCGAGCCTCAAACACGTGTTTTTTTTTATATATATATTTATACAATGAATGTTTTATGTTCCTTTTAATCCAGTTTGTATTTCAGTATGCTCGTTCAAAGTTTCTGAAGTTTTGTTCAGTTTGTTTTCAGGCTGTTTATAGAAAGTTCTTAAGGTAGCAGCTCAGTTTGAATTCAGTTGATATCAGAGGAAGTTGAGGTGTAATTTGTCACTTTTAAAGTCTCAAAAGTAATTTGAGAGAGAGACTTAAATTATAGTTTGTAATATTTGTCCCGGTTGTCTTTTTTTATTCAGTGAACCAATTTAACTCCTTTTAATCTGTTTTTAATTTTGAATTGTGATCGGTTTACTGATGCAAATGAACCTGAAAAAAGTAATAATACAATTTAAAAAAAGGCTTATTTATTTAAGAGTCCACAGAACAAAAACCTAATCAAAGCCACAAATCAGGAAATAAAGAAAATCTGTAAAAACTAACTCATTATTAATAAATAAACCCTATTTATTCAAACGTCAGTGTGAAACTTCAGTTAGAAAATCTTAAATGTCACACCCGCTTTAAATGAAACAGAGAATGAAGAGTTTGATTAGAAAATAAGAACTCAGCCTTGTTATTAAATTGTAATTGTTGATTCATTTTTCTGTGATTAAATTTCTGGTCGTTTTGTCTTTTGGAATAAAACTTTGTGCCACTGTTTGACAGATTTACAGCTGATGTGTTGATTTGTTGTTTGTCAAAAGAAAAATTAAGTTCAGTTTGAGCAGTTCCTCAAATGACCACTAGAGGCTCCAGCAGTCAGTCTCCATAAGGCCTCATATTAAAATGTCTTTACTGCAGAAAAAAACTATTTCTCCGTTCATGACAATTGTACAACGCACCACTTTAAAATATATGAAGACTTAAGGTTTTGCATAATTAAGTACGTAGTAAAAATGTCCCAATCTACAGCCAGTGTTTGGGTTGTCTGCTCTGTAGAAACAATATGGTTTAATGTGGCGGACTCTGCCTCTGTGGATAAAAACGTCTCACTCTAAGGTAACAATAACACAATGATTATTATACTCAGGTGATTAAACACTAATGAAAACATACCTGTGGATATATTATATTTCTGACAATAGATCCTCAGTGTTACACACTGGACCTTTTAATTGGATAAATAAAGTGTAAAATCAGGCAGAAATAACCACTAAAACAGCTACTACAGGAAGGTATTAAGTAGTTTTGGCTGTTTTTCATTGTTAAAAGTGTTTGTGTGATAAGTGAAGTATTAAAAGGTCAGAGTGTGTAATGTTACATTCAGTGTATGAGAGAGTGAATGAAGTCCGATAAAGAGCTTACACCCATCAGGAGATTACATCCGGAGCTGCTGCCTCGACGCAGGCAGCAGGACTTTTCTGTGTGTGTTTAGAGATAGAAGTTATTGAGTGTGTGATGGTGAGACGAGATGTGTGTGTTTATAATAACTCTGTAAGTGGCTCCGTTCTCTCTCTGTGTGGATTAATCTCTTCGTGTCTGATAGAAAATGGCTGCTGGTTCTGTGGGAGCAGCTCCGCACTCATTTTATCTCTCCAGAGGAACGAAGACACCTCGACAAACGTACGATTGTTTAACTGTTAATGTGCCGCTCTACGCAGTCCCGACAGGAAACTAACGCACGTTCAAGTTGGACCCGTCGTTGATGCTTTATTTGTTGTTGCAGACGTGTGCGACACAAACTTCTCACGTTGACCCTCGAAACAGTCAATTTTATTTTTTTTATATTTTTTTATTTTTTAAATATTTTTTTACAGTTTGGGTCTCCGACATTTAGAAACTGACATGATAATTTGCATATGTTGGACAATTAGCATAATTAGCAGGACACAAAATGGCTGTTTTAAACCAGACGTGGCCAAATTTCAACTCCTGATGGGACGATTTTGATTCATTTTAAGGGGGA